ATGCTGCTATACTTGGAGAGCAAGTGCGTTCGATCCTAAAGGGATTGCTAATTAGTATCAGTAGTAAAAATGTGTCAGTAATGCAAATAACAAAATGTCCGATAATGCGAAACAATGTCCGAAGGTACTTATCCAATGTCCGAAGCCAAAGTGCGATGTCCGAGATTTCAGACTTTCGGACTTCACAATAATGGGTTGGAACTTTATAACGAGTGTTGGATTGCGAGCGGTATGCGCGAGTATAACAAGTGACGGAGTATGACGGTGAACGAATGATAATATTTTGCAATGCAACTAAGAACTACGGGAATATTCTGGGTGATCCGCAGAGTCGGGAAACGGCTCCTGACTACTAGATGATGATAGCTATGGGTCACTACAGAGTATTTAAGTAAGTACATAGAAATTCGGAGTACTACAGGCAAAGATAGTAGCGATATATTTTGGGTCCAATGTCCTATGTAATAAGACACGAGGTGCTGTGGACATGTAATAACACGGTCCGAATGTCAGAAAACATGCACAGGAATAACTACGCACCTAGTGAGGCTAGTTCGGATGGACAAGACACAGGATGGACAAGTGCGCGCGAAGTGCGATCAGCCAATGCGATGTCCGAAGGTCCGATGCGCCGGATCCGATACGGAGTGGCTCGGACATGTGCGCATATGTTTTGGGTGTTGACGTGAGTATGAAAATACGTGGTTTCAAGCCCAACGCTGCGACCATCGCTACATCACGTCTTTACAGGCACTTCCCTCAAATTCTCCCACTTTCCCTACACACTCCAGCTCTAATCCAAAGGATATGTCTTGTGCAGTAGCACTCTCTATACGCACACCGCGTGTCTGCCTTCGCATCGTCTGCATTGGTGAATATGCGATCATGAAGTACCTTGTCTATTGTGGAGTTCCACCGACAGTTGTCGATTCATAAGAGTGGAAAGAGTTAATGGCCGTTCTAAACCCAAACTTCATTTCTCCCTGCTCGGCAACCATTACCTCACATCTGATAGTCAACAAGGCTGCTAAAATTAGCATTGCTATTGAACAATACCTTGGTGCATTGCAGAACTTGACAATCACATACGATGGAGGCAAAATAAGATGTCCAAAGTCTTTCTACTCTATCCATGTCACAACCACAGATCGAAGATGCTTTTGCATGGCATTGGATGACGGTTCTTGGCTATCACACTTAGTGAGTTTCTTTGTCGAGGCACTTGAACATGTAAGTATTTCCATGTCAATTTGGCACGCATATACTAACCCTACTTTTAGGTTATCAAGAACATAGGCCCATGGAACTTCTGTGCAGCAACATCAGACAATACCGGTAACATGAAGAAGGCTCAGAGGCTACTTTCTGAGTGTTACCCACACATCATCAATCTTCAAGATGCGTGTCATCTCCTTAATTTGGCCGTGAAGGATATCTGCTTGTTACCTGAGTTTGAAGATGTGAGTGGGCATCATTTTCGTCTTGTAATGTCTTGTAAGTCTCTTCATCTACTATCTAGGTCATCCAACAGGTCCGAACAATATTGGCACATATGAGTCGCTCAAGCTACACAACGGAGCATTATGATCACAAACAAGGTGATTTTGGAATCTCTTGTGGGCTGGAAGCCATTTGTGACACTCGCTTTGGCACTATTTACTGGGCAGCACTATCAATCCAACATGGATTACCGGCATTTCAGGCTATCGTTGAAGATACTGATCTTGGTATTGACATAGCAGTAAGTGGTTCCTTCGTTATCAGCTGCTCAACATAATGATAATCTCATTTCTTAGTCTCCTAATGATCTTTTCATTCCAGGAGGTGCAAAATTGAACTTCGAACTGGAGCTCTACAAGCTTCTTGCTATTATCAGGCCTTGGGCAACAGGCACGAGATGCCTAGAGGGTGCACACATCACACCTGACCAAGTTTACTTTGTATTTCTTGGCATGAGTCAGCTGAAGGCTTATTTCCATGCTGAAGATTCGTTCAACCGCAAGATGCGCTCAAATGAAAGCCCATGTGATTACTGGCAAGCACTCCTGAAATCAGGAGATGAACTTGCTGATGTACTTCCAGTGAGTATGTTTCGCCTGCTTTCATTTGTCGCTGACTATATCCATGTAGATTATTGCAATCAAAATGTTCTCTGCAGTTCCAATTTCTATGGCAGACGAACACACTATGTCCACTATCACATGGTTAAACTCTCCTTGCCATGCTAATCAGAATCTCGGGACACTTCAAGATCATATAAAAATTTGAAAGTGGCATCGTTATAAGCCTGAGGTATGTGCCAATGTTTGGTCTTTTCGAGAGCACCAACCTCAAATCACACCTTTTACTATATAGATTTCAAATGTCACCAAAAAATCACTTGTTTGATGGCAGGACATGAATGAAACTATTTTCTGCAAACATACAGCCTCAGATATGGATATGTCTAGAAACCTTCCACTCCCTGGACACCATCCACCTCAGCCAAGACCCTCCCACTGCAATCCATCCAATGATGCTGGTGATCCTAAGTTTCCTGATAATGGTGCTGAGTGGCTGAACAACGAGCGAGGACTGCCGAGAGAGTTTGAAAAGGTTAACGGCTCACACTTCTTGCTTGCGGGGGCAAATGCACATATCGAGTTGGGCTCTCCCTATCTCCAAGACTTTCTGGACAAAACACCTTGAAATGTGAATCCACTCGTCAAAGCATCAACAACATTGTCCCTTGTTGTATCGTCATCATTAGAGGCACTTCCTGATTCAAAAGCTTGGGATGCATGGCCATAGAACCATATTTACAATAATTAACCGTTAAATTTGTCAAATTTACAAGTAAATTAGCGCTAATTAGCTCACTTGCAAATTTACGCAAATTTACAGAGGTTAATTTGACCTTGGATGGCGCCTCTGCAAATTAGCAGCATTAATTTGGCCTCAGACCAAATTAACAGGACACTACAAACCTTGTTTCCAATCTTTCAAGGTACATATTTCTTCCTGTGTGATCTTTCTGCCATTCATTGCATAGCGATATTGTGGCAAGATACTGCTTCTTCTCTTATCCTTTGGAGGTTGGTGATGTGGTCCTTGGCTGCCAGGATATCAGATGGTGGAAAGGCATAAGGGATGCCTCTAGGCTCATAGCCTATCATAAGGACAAATGGGGATGCATTCCTTACATCATGCTTTTGGTGGTTGTGCACAAATTCTGCCATTGGTAGATGCTTTACCCATGTTTCAGCATTTGATCAGCAATAGATCTGGAGGTAGGTTTCAAGTGCTTGATTCAATCACTCTGTCTGACCATTGGTCTGAGGCTAATAGTGGTGATCACAATATTAATACAGGAGTGCAACTGACCCATTAGTACACTATGGCCGTCATTTTGGGCAAACAATCCATGCTCTTTGCAACTTTCAAGCTCTTCTTATGAATGGAATCTTACGGATGGGAGAATTGGCTGAGATTCCAGAGAAAAACTTTACATGAACATCAATCAGAGTTTTCATCATGAACGGACAGGTGCCTTGCTTTGTCTGGCTGGCCTCGACTGGTCTAATACAGAGTGGGTATCTCACTTGTCTGTTTCCTCAATGTACATACTAATGAAATACAGGACAAAAACTAAGCTACAAAGTGGCGAGATCATCATGACCAGAGACCAGTGGCCATTGTTTCTGTATGCTGACTATCATGACGACCCCGAGGATCTATGGAATGGTCTGTTTTGAAGTGCCTTATTAGTTTCTGTATCATACCAAACTTCACAACATTTTTTTTTTCATTCTAACTAAAGTTACAGGCATATAAACACATTTTCACATCCTCCAGCTCCGTGGATAAAGAACCAAAGGCCACTCATTCAGGTAATCCTTGGATTCATGGGATGACCCGAGTTACTCTACCCTCCATTGCATACATTGCAACACAGGTGTGTCTATGTTCGAATCTGTACATTTATACTGAGTGAGTATATATTCCAGGTCCATTTTTCACTCACCTCATCTCCTGTGTTCTTGCATATGGACACAGTCACTGACTCGGAAAGGTTCTACAACTCCGTTTTGGAAGTGTTTGAGGACATGGATGAGAAACAAGTGATAGATGACCTAGTTGTCTGGTGGAATAGGTAATTGATAACTCATCATATATTTATTCTAATGGTCCTCATTTTTTCAGGCAAATTTTCCCTTTGTACTTGAGTACCCAGCGTCCTCTCATGAAGAACAGTGTGCTGGCAAGGATTCGGAAGAAGCAAGCACAAATGAAAGAGTCAGTTTCAGTCCCTGATGGTAGTAGTGGTAGTGTGTAGCATACATCCGGCACATAATAGTTGATTGTACCCAGCCAGAGAATCTATGTTCTGCTGCAACAAGTGATCATCCATATACGAGTAGCTTGATATAATACTGTAGAAATTATTGTACACAGCATCGGACTGGAACTGTATAGGTATGTTTTTAACAACAGTAACAGTCAGTGCATCTTGGTCAATACATTATCTGCCTTACACAACAGATGCAGTACACATCATTTTGACATTCTAGCCCCAAATTTACCAGTCAGGTGATGCTAAACAACAAGTGTGCCTGTAGTGAATACTTTGCTGATCAGGCACAACCTCCGTCTGTTTGATGTCACTTGTGTGAGTCACAAAGACAGCCATTCATTATATTTATAGATACTAATGTTGATGAGGCATCACAATTGCTAAGGACCGACACACCTTTATGATACTATGTCTGCTTGATATAATTTGCATTAGTTATAATAGAAGCCATCCATTATATATGTAGATACTAGTGTTGGTGACTGCATCACAATTACAATCCTATGTACAATTTCATTGTGCTCCTTTTTACCCTTTTGCCCTTGACAAATATTTAGTACAAGTGGGTAAGTGCAATAAACACAAATAGCATCTCGATTTTTGCAACAGATCGTAAGAGATGGCCTTCAAATCCTTACTTGCGGCTGAGATCGCCTGACGCCATAGATCAATGAGGAGGCGGCAGGGGGGTGAAGTATGAGGTGATGTTGGGGGGTTGAGTGAGACCATGAATGAATTCCTGCTTCCATATGCTGCTGAACACAAGACCATCATATGTCGCATTCTCAAAGGCGTCCCCCCACCTCTGAACAGGGTCATATGCCAAATCTTGCTTGTCAACCAGGGGGGCCGGTGCACCCTTGGGTCCTACATACATTACAGTGAGTTCAAGTAGGATATAGAAGAGCAACTCGAGATCGTTGCAGGGCGTGTGTCAGACCGGCTGTCCATCTCCCATTAGATGGAGAACGCGGAATGATATATATGATGCGGTTCCCTGTGAATTATGAGATGAATGTATGCAGAAGAAATATATAACACACAGTACCAAGCGGACTCTTGTCAGCTTGTCCATCAATATCAAGAAACTTTGCATTGTCAAAGTCAATGAAGCAACCTTTTCCTTCATAGATGATAATATTATTAAGGCTGAGATCTCCATGAAGGACACGTTAGTCAACCATGGCCTTGTGGGCTATGATTCATGGTGATTAAAGAGCACTTTGTGCTTGCAAAAAAAAACTCACCAATCAGGAGGTCATGAAAAACCCCAATAAGCTCAGGTATGTCGCTGAATTGTGTCAGTGGAAGCCCACAGGGTGTCAAGAGAATACGGCAATGAATTCTTTTCTGAAATGCAAATGTCTGGCAATGACTGTGAATGAGTGATGTGGAGTTGGGCTGCCCATCATAAAGCACATCCCAATATTTGACGAGTTGAACCACATTCTGGATGCCTTCGACCGCTTTCAGAAAGTCTATTTCAACATTCTTGACATCTTCGTTGACCCAACAATCCTTCAGCGCATACTCCTGACCAAACTTGTCTTGAACGCGATAACAGACAGTTCTGCATGTGAAAAATTGATGGCTTTCCATCAAATATCCATGATCCAATATCAATTCTGGTCGTTATCATAGACTCAACCTATCGCCCTGAGAAGCATGGTATTGAAGCCTGTCAGCAAGTTGGTGTGGCTTGGGACAGTACTACAAGAGTTGCAGATGTGAATTGTTGGATCAAAGCTGAGGGAGGAGTGATTTGCCAAAGTGATCGTATTTAAGACATCGACAAAATGTACGTGAAATCTATCGATCTGGAATGTGTTTGATATTACCATGCCAGAGCAATCTATATAATGGGCCCGAAGTTTGAGTTTAGAGATACTGAAAAGCAGGATGAAACAACACCATGGTTGCTCCCGCATGATCAGATAACCCTTGGTAACGATGCCCAGGAACAAAGGAATTTTACAATCGCTGGAAAGATCAGATTGGGTGATCTTGATTCCTGTGAGAACGTCCTTCCAGGACTTTTCAGAGGAATCTAACTTTCGGAGCTTGTAGTCCAGGAGGACAAGGTCAGGCTTCCGCAATTCAGTCGCATCCGAAATAGGACTGGTAGCGAACTCTGTGGACCAGTACCAGAGATTTGCTATTTCTCTGAAGGGTAGAGATTGAGAGGGTTGGGAGTGACCAGTTTGCGCTTTTGAATTTGATCCTTGAGCATCTCGTACATGTGATACTGTATCGCCTGGAAACAATGCTCCCAATTCTTTTCTTCTGGTACCCATCCAGACATTACTCTCTTCCTTCCAACCTTAACAGAAGCCTGTTCTCCGAAGCTGCCTTCTGTCTTTAGCATGGAATCCCCTTCCACATCGGTCTCTGTCAGCTCAGACTCAGTCTCTGTCAGCAACTCGCTATCTGTCTGCGACTGGGTACAAGACTGCAACAGATGACGCTGAATTGGCATGATATGTTTCCTCTGATTCAGAAAGAGATCCTTCAAGTTGGGCCTCCATTGTTAATCGAAAATGGGACCCCCGTATATTAGAGTCATCATTAAGGCGGATAGCAACACCAAGAGCCTCTGGGAATTTGGAGAATTGGTGTTAGATCTTGTCTATAGTGCTCAAGAAAGTGACTGTGGTGTCGTTGAAATGAGGGAGGCTGGGGAGGATCCGCAAGACGAACACCCAGTTAGCCAAATTGTCCCCGAGATCTATGAACAGTTTATCTTTGACATCATCAAACAAGCACCCAACAGGAAATATATGCGGGAGGGTTCATACCTGACCATCCCTGTCTACAGACACATTGATCTGGCACAGCCAGAGCTGCCATTTGATCAAGCTCAGTCCTGCTTCAGCAGCAAGATTTTGAACTTATTCAAACCCCCAAGAACCAGGTTCAGAGACTTTGAATGTAGGAGGGAAGGAAAATAAAGAAAGAATACAATATAAGAGGGTTCCTCGTGGATCAGCATGGGAGTGACTCACATCACTCATTCACAGTCATTGCCAGACATTTGCATTTCAGAAAAGAATTCATTGCCGTATTCTCTTGACACCCTGTGGGCTTCCACTGACACAATTCAGCGACATACCTGAGCTTATTGGGGTTTTTCATGACCTCCTGATTGGTGAGTTTTTTTTTGCAAGCACAAAGTGCTCTTTAATCACCATGAATCATAGCCCACAAGGCCATGGTTGACTAACGTGTCCTTCATGGAGATCTCAGCCTTAATAATATTATCATCTATGAAGGAAAAGGTTGCTTCATTGACTTTGACAATGCAAAGTTTCTTGATATTGATGGACAAGCTGACAAGAGTCCGCTTGGTACTGTGTGTTATATATTTCTTCTGCATACATTCATCTCATAATTCACAGGGAACCGCATCATATATATCATTCCGCGTTCTCCATCTAATGGGAGATGGACAGCCGGTCTGACACACGCCCTACAACAATCTCGAGTTGCTCTTCTATATCTTGCTTGAATTTACTGTCATACCTATAGGACCAAAGGTGCACTGGCTCCCAGAAAATTGGCAATGGGATGCTGTCCGGAAGTGGGATCGCCAATCAGAGTACGACACGTGATCAGACCCTTCAGTCATTCTTCATGTAGAACTGTGGCCCTGGATGTGCCAAAAAGCCTTAGAATGGAGGCCAGCCAGTCTTGGCCGGTGCATATAAGATAGGTGCTGGCCACTTTACCATCTGATTACCACCTATCTTATTATTTCATGTAGGGTAGATGTTGGTTGGTACATAATATACTCATCTCTTATGTAGGATTCTGCAGGAGGCAGATGTATGGCTGGCTGGTGCAGTACTATTTCATCAGTAGACTGTAGCCAATGTTATGAACATATATAAGCAGTGTCCAGCCAGCGGCAGTTCTAGACCTACAATCCAGCCATCCTGGCTCCTACACATGTATATACAAAATGGCCGGTCTGCTGATAAAAGAGGACTAAAACAGCCAGCCATGGTTCTACCTACTGCAGACCCTTACTGGCCAGTTATAATTGAAGACCTACAATCCAGCCAGCCTGGCTTCTATACATGTATATCAAGATGGCTGTTTATAATTGAAGACATACAATTCAGCCAGCTTGCCTCCCATGTATATACAAGACGGCCAGCCATAGTTCTACCTACCTCAGATATTTACTGGCCAGTTATAATTGAAGATATACAATTCAGCCAGCTTGTCTCCTATACACGTATATACAAGACAGCCCAAGCTGACTGAATTGTATGTCTTCAATTATAACTGGCCAGTAAATATCTGAGGTAGGTAGACATGGCTGGCTGCTTCAGTACTCTTTCATCAGCAGGCCAGCCATCTTATATATACATGTGTAGGAGCCAGGCTGGCTGGATTGTATGTCTTCATTTATAATCAGCCAGTGAGGGTCTGCAGTAGGTAGAACCATGGCTGGCTGTTTCAGTACTCTTTCATCAGCAGGCCAGCCATCTTGTATATACATGTGTAGAAGCCAGGCTGGCTGGATTGTAGGTCTTCAATTATAACTGGCCAGTAAATATCTGAGGTAGGTAGAACCATGGCTGGCCGTCCTGTATATACATGGGAGACAAGCTGGCTGAATTGTATGTCTTCAATTATAACTAGCCAGTAAACATCTGAGGTAGGTAGAACCATGGCTGGCTGTTTCAATACTCTTTGATTAGCAGACCAGCTGTCTTGTAGGTCACTTATATATGTTTATGTTTCTGTGGTCTGACAACAGATCTACATGGCTAAAACAGCTGTTAGCCAAATCCTAGAGGCAGGATGTTCAGTTTCAACAACTTCAGATTTTTTCAAGAGCCTATTTATCACCTTTGAAGGCATACAGTTACCGAGTCACTGAGTTCTGACAACTAAAGAGTAAGGTTTCTATGACAGCAATTGTGCAGTGAACTGGCCGGCTCTTTTCCACTAAACTAGAACAAATGCTGGCTGGCTGCTCCTCAAAGATATTCAAGTCAGCCAGCTACAGTCCTCCTGACTAGAACAGCTGTGGCTTGTAAATCTCCATATTGGCCAGCTCTCACATGAGACAGCTAAAACAGCTGTTGGCCAGTGTATAGTTAGGTAACCTATGTCATTAATATCTTATTGCCATATAATTCTTTCATCCAAAGTACATGACATCAAGCTACAAATCCACACTCATGGAAAGTCTGCTGTGCATCCTCTGCAAACCTTTCCCACATTAAGACTTGTGTATACGCATAGGCTTGATGACCAGGTCCAGTAGCTTGAGACCACCTTCTATACCATTCTTCCCAGTGAAACTTAAACCAGTTAATAATGCACCCCATTTCATGTCTAACTATGCACAACTTCTCTTTCCATCTACTAACTCTAGCCTTGGCCTTCAACTAGTTCACCCTATAGACTATATTAATAAGTCAGTTTGAAGTAACATGATACAGATGAAACTTGTTCCTTACATTCATTCAACCAATCATCATCATTACTGATGTTATTCACCTGCCAAAACCAAGCAAGCTTATCTGACCCTTGTCCAAATCAGTTTTCTTCAGTTACCTCTTTGTTGACACTAAGTTCTGTGGATAATATTTCTTGATACATATTTCCAAGGGTGTCTTTGTTCATGCCTAGACATTCCATTGCTGACCTTGCCCTTTGATATCTTCGTACATACTTATCAATTTTGAGGTGACAACAGCTTGCATCTTGCTTGGACCGGGTTCCAGCCCAGGTGGAATCTGCACTCCAAAAATGCTGGCAATAAATAATAGCCTTGTGATCCAATGCCATATGTAGGATTTCCAGGCAATCATTTGCTTGACCGATTCGAAGCTCCAACTCTTTGGATTGCAAGGCATGTAGCCCAAGGGATGAGGCCTCACTGAGGAATACTGAAGATGGCATCCATATACTCATCTCTTCTGCAAGAATTTCTTCTTCAACATCCTTCAAAATTTCATCATCCAAGACCTCCCAGTCATTTCCATCATTGTGGATACCACAGAATCTAGGATCATCGGAGTGAACTGTTCCAGCATGAAGATCCATACCTGCTGTCATGGAATCAGCAGCTTCATGAAATTTGGCAATTCTAGCTGCCAATCTCTGGCATTTTTCTTCTATAGCAGCTTTTTGACCAGGACTTGCATCATTAGGAAGTAGTCGTATATCTGCTCTTAATGCATCCCTAAAATAGATTAACATATGACATCTTGTTGGCATAATTAAATCATTATGTACTGTGAATCCTCAAGGTTAATGCCGTCAGAACAAAAACATCAGATGTGTCTCCACAATAGAATTTTACTGACATTTGTTGATCTGCAGCTGATAGATATCAAGATTCTCCCCCCTCTCATCCATAGCCTTTTTTTCATCACTTTCCCACATCGAAATTTTGACACAGTCCAAAGAACGAGTGAGCTCATCAAAAGGAGTTTGAGTCTCATCAAGACCTTTGGCAGCTTGTTTGTACTTTCTCAAGAGAGTTTTAACTGGAAGGTTGAGTGTGAAGTATAATTTTGAATATGTAATACTGTAGTACATACCTATTCCTGTCAATTTTTTCTAGTTTGAGTCTCGCATATGATCATCAAGCACTTCTTGGCAATGAGCTTGACTCATTGACCGAGCAGTTGGAGAGATCTTATTAAATGGAGCCCATAGAGTCTCCAAAATCTCCCCATTGATCTGCCCAGCCCCTTGAATAAAGTTGAGGCTGTACCTCGCAAAGCAAGCTAATTTGTGAGCACTGAGATGGAATTTTCCAACTGCCACCATGACCTTCATCGTGTTGGAATGGACATTCGGCCTTGGCTGTCAACCACTCTCTGTAGAAAATTAATGCTCCACTGATACCTCACATCATAAATGATAAGAAAGGAATCTATACCCATGGAGTGATAATTCATAGCATTGCATATTGAGTAGTCCATGTTCATCTGTCTAAAAATAACGTCAACTCTTCTGAACACACTATATTTGAACATCCTGAACAGACCTTTCACCCTTTTGGAAATCAACAACGGAGTGAGGAACAAAGCATCCATGTCGGGCACAAGCAGTTGCACCCACTCCTGTGGCTCGTAGATTGCTTCTGTTAATGTTGGCTGCATTGACTGCTCGGTGGTTACTACAAGAAGAACACTTCTCAAGTTGTCAGATAATGCAGAAAGAATATTGTACAAGTCACCCACCTCCTTACTCTCTGTAGCCAATGATAGGTGGGTCTGGTATTCTTGCTCAGTTACCATATACCCAAGCCCATCTGAGAGACTGATATCCAGGAGTGGTTGTTTCATAATCATATGTTGTGTGGTAAAGTTTCCATCAACAACATATCTTTGTGAAATCAGCCAACTGTGTCAAGGGTATATAAGTATAAGATCTATCTCAAAGATAATGTCCAGTGAAGATAAAATGGCAGACTGCCAGCCAGCTCATCTCTAGCACCAGAAGAAG